ACGCGGCGGCGGGCCTGCAGAGCCGGCGGGGAAGCCTCTCTGGGTCCGCACCTGTCGCTCTTCTGGGCCCTGTTTATAAAAACCCGTGTTTCGCCTCGCCCTCTCTCCGGACCTTTCTCAGTTTCGTGAGCCCCACTGATATTCCCACGCCTGTTGCATGCCTCAGTATTCAAAGAGGCTGCAAGGGTTCCAGCTAGGCCCAGCTAGGTGTAAGGTAAGAAAGGACAGAGCCTGGTAACATGCTCTATAGAGAGGAAAGGACATAATATTCTGGCAGAGGGATATTTTAATCCGAATTGTTGCTCTGATGTAAGTTGAGAGAGTGAAACTATTTGTGGACCTCCATAGGTCGTTCCTATGACTGCCTGCTGTGGGTGGCAAGGCTTTCTAAAGGTACTGCTAGCTCAAGGTGACAGTGCTTCCTTCCTACTTTCTGTTAATCCAATTTTGTGCAACCTGTAAGTAACCAACCATTAGTTTGCCACAAAATTAATGTAGATTTAATCTGAATGGCCAACATATTTTGTCAGAGTGATTTTCTGCTTATGATATAGTCCATAATGAAAAACAGCACTGTATATTGTTTCCAATTCCTAAGTATATTTCTTGTATCATCTGTCAGCAAGAGGGACATGTTCATGAAGATCGAAGATGAAGTATGGCCAGTTTGTAGTAAAATCTGATTCTGAAATATTTAGCCATTTGTTTGATTTTACTGGAAGTTAGTGAATTACCGTCTAAATCCTTTGCTGCTGATCAAGTTTTCACTATAAGACTAATATTGGTTTTATTCTTTATGAAGATCTATTTTTTCAGTGTTTTCTTCTACAAACTTCTTTTCCTCTTTATGCTTCAGTTTCCACTCATCAGCAGTTTGTTTTTCACTTCCTGGATGTCCATTATTACTAGTTTATCTAATGAAATGTGTATTAGGAAAACAGCTGAAAGTGTCATTGCTGGGACACGAGTTAGAGTAGCAAAGAAACTATTAAGGAGAGTAGCAATTCACACCTCTGAATTATTTTTTTAAAGTTTGTTCATACTGCATGAAGTCATCAGTTTCGGTTACTTGCTCTGGAGTTAGAGGGCTAGCTTCACACCTATTAGACGTATAAATTAACTTATTAAAAAGGCTTTTTTCTTTTTTTTTTTTTTATAGAAAGGAAATAGACCAGTAGGGCACATCATCAAGATTATTGGAGGGATTTGACACATATATTTTAATTCTTCTGGAATTTACAGTGGAAATAGATGATCATGTCAGTACTGGAACACCTACTGTGCCCACTAGTGCTCTACCAGTACTTGCTAGTAAGGATACTTTTTTGGATTTAAAAAGTTACATTCTCCACAAACCCTTTATTTGAAGAGAACAGCTCACCACTTGCATCTGCAGCAATGTATGTGGAGAAAAGGCAGTGCTGTGCATGAGAGATTACACCATGAATAGGCTAGTTCAAACTAATTTCAATTTTCTGTTAAAAAATATGCTTCCAATATTATGCTATCCTATACGCTAAAGTAATGTTTTGAAAATAATTTGTCCTCTTTTGTATAAATCAGATGTTACTTTTATTGCTAAAGGTTGTCAGAAGTTTTTCTGCCTGTGCAAACATATTCTTCAGAAAGCAGCATTATTATTTTTTATTTTAAAAAGATCCTAATATTAACTTGTGCATTTATGATTTAATTACCATGATTCTTATAATGTTCTCCATATTGTTAAGTAATTGATAAGAGTCAGTGAATTGGAAAGTGGAATACATTTAAAGCTATTGTGTATGAAGGTTTTGCAAGGATCTTACATTTACATTGCTGTTCTTGCCTACCAATCTGAATTGTATTGTGGGAGGCTGAAAGAGGTGGGGTGTTACAGTATTTTTATAAGTGGCAATTTTTATATGTATATATTTTTTAAAAACCCAATGTTATGTGTATATATATTTGCAGTTTTTAAAGAATTGAGTATGGTTTTTGAGTATGGGGTGTAATGAAATTGTATTAATGTGGGGCCAAGACAGCTGAAATAAGTCTTTGCTTAGAGTTTTGCTTGTAAGTCCTTTAAACTTCTAGGCCCATCTTGGTTAAAACCTGTGGCTTTTTATTTGTTGAGATCATTATTTTCACCAAAAGAAGAAAATCAGTTCCCATTAAAGCTTTAGTGAAACTTTTAATGTTGATGTAGTTGAGTAAATAATTAAAATTAGACATCTCTGCAGAAGTGGCAAAGTATCTTAGATGCGTTGAAAACTGAAGTGGTGAACTTACATGTATGTGAATCAGCTCATGCTTAAGTCTCTCACAGCTACCCTTAGAACTCTTAGTACAGCAGTACAAGCATGTAAAATACCGTTCTCTGAATTTATTTTTAAAAAGGTTTATTTTTCAGGTAATGGGCCTTTGGGTACATTATGAATCCGCTCACTGATTAAAAGGCTATCAGGTAGCTGGAACGGTGTGCCCCAATTCATGTTGGTGGATTGTTAAGGATTAAGCTAGGTATATGGAATGTCTGTTTTGTGCAAGGAGAGTGTTTAGATTTGGGAGTGAATTTGTTTGAGAGGTCTGTGTGTTTGTCTCCTATTAGATTCTTTTATTATTCCCCTACCCCGAGACTGTAGATATAATTTATTTTATTGGAGAAGGTAGTGAGTCACAGAAAGGTTTTGATACTTACTGTGATCCAGGACATGTAGGAAGCAAATGTTCTTGTGATGGACTAAATAAAACTCAAAACTTGCAAACAGGTCTGGGTAGTATATAAAGACTCTATTAGACCCTGTAAAATGGGAAAGGTACTGTGATAGTTTTTGAAACTGTTACTAATCTGAGTGCCTCCATTTGTGCTTTGATATCAAATGCTGTGGTGCAAGTCAAGAAAAGCATTTGATCTTCTCCTGTGTTTAATCTTTTATAGTCTTTTAAAGTGACAGTTCTGAAGATTGCTAAAGACTGCTACCTAGAGGATATTTGGGAAGGAAAGAAGCTATGTCCGATTCTGGGCTCCCCAGTATAGGTGAGGCCTGGATATGCTGAAGTCCAACAAAGGGCCACAAAGTTGGTTAAGGAACTATGGCATAACTCCAGTGAGTCTCCTGGCTGAGAGCTGGGGCTGTTCAACCAGGAGAAGCGAAGGCTCAGGGGGATCTTAATAATGTATATAAATACCTGGAGGAAGGTCCAAAGAGGATGAGTCCAGGCTTTTTTCAGTGCTGCGCATTGACAGGACCAGAGGCAGCGGGTGCACACTGAAAAGCACGAAGCTCTGTCTGAACATCAGGAAACAGTTTTTCAGTGTGAGGGTGACCAAGCACTGAGAGAGGTTGCACAGAGAGGCTGTGGAGTCTCCCTCCTTGGAGGTAATTAAAAGCTGTCTGGACGTGGTCCTGGGCTACTGCCTCCAACTGGCCCTGCTTGAGCAGGCAGGGTTGCACATCATAAGCTTACAGTAAGCACACTGATCCCTTTCTACTTGTCTCTATTATCATATTTATAAAAAAATAATAAGGGGAGGGTAACAGTCAACTCTGAAGTTTTCTCTTTGTGTGTGTGTTGTAGTTTACAGTAAATACAGAAGCAGTATTTGGCAACCAACCAGTGGACTTTCACACACATACTTTAGGAAATTCAGAGAGGGAAACCGCTCCATATGACTTTAGAATGACTGCAAAAAAAAGGACCCTTTTGCCAGCAAGCTTCCAGTGAAGCATATTTTTCTTTAAATCGCAAAAAACTCCATTCTATAAATATTGTAAAGTGTCTGCTGGTCCTTCACATCATAAGTACACTTAACTCTCTACAAAGATGTTAGCCTTATACATATGTTTAGTATTTACTAAGCTGAACATCTCATAAGATACAAAATATGTAAAGGGTGTATTTGCGCTTGTATGTAATGTGTACAGTTAGAAAATGATAATTTCATCAAATAAAATTCTAGTCTTTCACTAGAATACTGTGATAGTTTAGGCCTGGCTGGGACTGGAGACCATGTTGCTGTTGTCCCTCCCCCACCCTCGGACCAAGCAGGGCACAAACCCCAGGGTTGAAATAAGGGGAAATTTAATACAACAGTGTAATAAACATTCTGAACAACAACAATAGCAATAATAACAACAATAAACAGTATTAGCAGTAAACAAGACAAAAGATATACAGAGAAATACTGCAGTGAACACAGCCCGCCGTGCGGGCTTCCCACGACCAAAGCCACAAAGGAAAGTTTCCTGCGCTGCCGCACTGGACCTGACCTCAGCATGGTATGAATAACCCGGATGGAGATCCCTTCCCCCTGCTTGGGAGAAACGTAACCCTATCCTAGCTGAACCAGGACAAATACCCTAAGGTAAATTTCGCCCTAGCAAGGTCTGGTTTCCAAATGTTAACTTTCTAGGAACAACATCTGAATTCACATATTTTTAGAGCATGCAGAGAGTGAATTTAAATTTCCAACCTAAATGATTGTAAGTTGTGTATGACTAAAACTGGAAATAGACTCAAACTCACTGTATTGCTGCTGGAGTTAATGATGACAGCCCCTACAACTTGTTACATCTTTTGGACTGCAGCAGAGGGTTACTTCAGTATGGTGTTTTCAAGCAGGCTGCTTATGCTGGTTTGGGGTTTTTTTGGGAGATGGATAAGGTTGGGTTTTTTTTTCTTTCTGAGACCTAATAGAATATATACTTTTTCACATAGACCAGTGAAGGCAGGAAGAGATGCTACAACTGTCATTTTAACTAACTAGTATGGTCTCAACACCAGCTACTCCACAGCACTACCTGTACTCTTTGAGTAGTAGAGTTAAAAGCAGCAAACAAACACATTAAAAAAAAAAAAAGGTGTGTTTTGCTACAAAGCTGCAGGCTCATAAGTCATGTTGTACGTGGACAGAGAAGGTAGCAGGCTTTCTGTCCTGAAGTTTCTCTGATGAGCTGAATGGTTCCTGAAGCCATGCATCTGACCTACATCTGCAAGCATTATCATTGACATCTAAACTTTACAAAAATCTTCAGGAGAAGGAGTACAGAAAGGATACTATCTGTAATGTGACTCTCTCAGAGATGGTGGTGGTTTTTTTTGTTGTGGTGGTTTGGAGGTAGAATGCAAGAAATTTGGAAGTCAAGATTATTTCAGACTTTTCAGAAGGAAACTGCAGATTTTTCAGAGGAAGCAAGGGTAAAAATTAAGACAGATAAAAAACTGAGAGGAAAA